CTGTCAGCATTCACACACCCCAGCAAGAACAGTCCCAGTTCGTCACATCCGAACTCCTCCCTCGAGTCCTGGGGGACCAACTCTTTAAATTTCCCCATGGAGTTCTATGAGTTATAGTTATATCTACTTAAGAGCGCCTGTTGGTTTGCAGCCCTGAGCTGCAGACCCCCCGCCAAATAAACCTTGCGTCCAAACAAATCAAAGCGCTTAGCGTCCTTTGATTTGGGCGCTGCTGCCTGCTGGCCATGGCGCTCTCTGGCGTTCACTGATGAGACTACCAGTGAACACGGTGGGGGATGTGTGTAGAGGTACTCATAGTCTTTGGAAGGAACAAAGTACTTCCTCTCTACACCCCTGGCAGTGGGAGGGATGGAGGCCGGGGTTTGCCATATGGCCGTAGCGTTAGCCTGAATTGTTCTGATAATAGGTAACGCCACCCGGGTTGGGACTTCCGATGAAAGGATGCTCACCACCGGGTCCTGCACCTCCACTATCTCCTCGGCCTGTAAGTCCATATTTCGTGCCACCCTACGTAACAAGTCTTGGTGGGCACGAAGATCTATAGGAGGTGGGCCTGCGGGTGTTGTACCTGCCACTGCCTCATCTGGGGAAGATGAGGACGACGCCTCAGGGGGTAAAGGACCTGTGTGTGGGTCCGGCTCCACAGGACTCGGAGGTGCAGGATCCCCTGCACCAGGGTCTGGCTCCTGGGTGGGCGTCGGGGCCAAAGCCTCCATACCCCCTGGGGGAGGACGGGAGATGGTGGCCTCAGGAGCCCTGGGCTCAGAGTGAGCCGAGCGAGAGGTCGCTAGTGGAGCCCCTTGAGCCTGGTGATACGCCCAAGGGGTCCAGAAAGACCAATGCGTAGGGTCTTGTCGCAGGTTTTCTGCCCCCTCCTGCCAATGACCCAAGTCGTCTGCAGCTTGACCCTGAGCAGGGTACGTTGAACGGGGGGCCCCTTCAGACGAGTGAGACGCCGATCTCGAGGGCCAGGCCGGTGCCAAGCGTGGGTGCAGAGAATCGTCCTGGTACGGTGCTGAGCGGTGCCGACCCAACGGCGAGTGACCTCTGCGTGGTGCTGGTGAACGGTACCGGGATTGAGAACGGTGCCGATGTCCATGTCGGTACCGGGACCCGGATCTGGATGACGAAGACGGTCTGTAAACTCGGTGCCGGGAGCGGCTTCGCGACTGTGAGAGGCGCTCATACCGGTGCCGGGAGCTGCGCCTTGACTCCGACCGGTACCGGTGCTCGAGTCGGTGCCGAGAAGACCGGTGCCGGGAGGTAGATCTGTGCTGCGAGTACGACCTATGCCGAGATGGAAATCGGTGCCGGGACTGCGAGCGGCGTCGAGACCTGCTCCGAGAACGGGAGCGGTGCCGTGAGTCCACGCCCGGAGACGGCGGGCGTATCAAGGTAGGCTTGCCCCTGGACTGTACTGTACGAAGCGGTGCCGCAGGTTGAGAAGGCGCCGGCTCCGTGAGTGCAATGAGGTCTCTCGCCGTGGCGAACGTCTCCGGTGTGGAAGGGAGACAGGGCTCCACCACTTGATGAGGCGGTGAGCCAGTTCGCGCCGGACTCAATGGCTCCACCCCCGGTGCCAGAGTCAATGGTGCCGATGATCCTTGCACCTTCTGGCGTTCGGAAGCCGGGCATGGCTCTACCCCCACGGGGGGAGCCGGTGCCTGAAGGACAGCAGCGTCCTGAGTCTTACGGGGCCTTTTATGTCCCGGAGACAGGGATCGGTGCCGAGGGGCTTGAGGTGGACGCGGTGCCGAGGGAGGACGGTGCCGAGGCGCCTTCCCCGCGTCTGTCCGCAGTGCAGTACCGGACGGTGCCGCTGGGGTGCTACGCACCGAGGCGCTCGGTGCCAGAACCTGGCGCGCCGAAGGAGGATCCGGGCTAAGTGCCGCCTCCATGAGGAGCTGCTTAAGTCTGAAATCCCGCTCCCTTTTCATCCTTGGCCTGAAAGCCTTGCAAATCTTGCACTTGTCCGTTTGGTGAGACTCCCCTAAGCACTTCAAACAAGAGTCATGGGGGGTCTCCCGTTGGCAGAGGCCTAGCACATGTTGCGCACAGCTTAAAGCCGGGAGCCTTGGGCATGAGCCCGACTGTGCGCGTGGGGGGGAGGGGAGGGATAATAGCCCCCTTAGCCCCCGCTAACTACAAAAACTATTTATAACTATTAACAACTACTAATCTAAAGAACACAATTAACAACTATCTACAAGAAACAACGGGTAAGCTAGGAGAGTGGAGAACAGCTATGCCGCACTCCACAGTTCCAACGACCGTCACGGGCGGTAAGAAGGAACTGAGGGGGCGCTGGGTCAGCTGCGGTATATATTCAGCGCCATGAAGGCGCCACTCCAGGGGGCTCCACAGCCGACCCACCGGATGTTGCTAGGGTAGAAAACTTCTCCGACGATCGTGCACGCGGCGCGCACACACCTAATTGGAATCGATATGAGCAAGCACTCGAAGAAGAAACAATGTTTCAAAATAAACCTCACCATTTTGGATTTTGACTCATGATTGTGACATGACTGGGGCCAGCCATACTGAAATCCCCGGCTCTGCGTCACTGCAGTGGCGCTGACCTGAGACCTCCCCCAGGGCTCTAGAGCAGAGTGGGGCAGGGCTGGGGTGGGCCAGGGAGGCTGAATTCCCCCTCCCACAGGGCCCTATTGTAGGAGGAGTGGCCATGGGGTGGCTGAGGCCCAGGAGAGTTTGGAGCTGGCTGGGCCAGTCCCAGGGGTCTGAGCTCCCAGGGACCCTCTGACAGAGACCCACGGACACTGTGCCCCAGGGAGACTCAGGAATTCCCCTCCCTCCCCACGTGCCAGAGTCGCGGCTTCGGTCGCTGACCTGGACCCACGCTGAATGAGTGCCTTGTCCCCTGCGCCTCGATGGCGTACGTCCCCACGGCCGGCTCTGCAGATAGCAGGAGGGACAGATCCACGATGCCCTGCTGCGGAGTCACATCTCGCCACTGGGCGATGCGGTTCCCGCTGGGATCCTGGCACATGGACACGCCCTGTTCAGCCGCTGCCCCCACACACGGCTCGTCCCCAGCAGCCCCCGAGTGCCTCGTGCTGCCGACGGGGGCTGGATTGACGGCCGGGGGCTCAAATCCTTCTCCGTAGCCTGGAGCAGGCACTGCCGGGCAGCCGCTGGGTAAGGGGGCCCCTGCCAGCGCCCCTCAGCCCTGACCCGAGGGCACCGCCCCTGGGGGGAACAGGCTCCCGAGGGACACCCCATCTCCAGCCTGGACAAAGCCCAGGGAACTTGCCATAGGGAACGTTTCCATCTCAGTGCTACGCCTCTGTGGGTATGTTCCCTGCCCCCCTCCCGCCACGCAGCCTCCCCAAACCTCCATCTCTCCCCTCTGCCCCC